CTGAAGCCTGCAGGGAGCTGGGTTTTCACTGAGCTGTTTCAAAGCTCTCTCATTAACTGCTTGCCAGCAGCCAGCTCTCCCATAATGGGGATCGCCTCTGGAAATTGCAGCCCCATAGCAACAAGGAGTTTAATGGTTATTATTGCTAAACGAAGGACACAGGTCTGATAATCCACCTCGTGCCTCTAGCAAAAGCCCTTGGAAATGATGATTTCCCCTTGCAGGTAAGGCAGGGAAACACACACAATCACAGGGGTATTAAAATGACATGGCCTGGCCTGGCAGAGTGGTTTTTAACATTTCAAAATACCGGAATTTTTACATATTTTTATTTTATTTTATTCTTCTTCATGGAGTCCAGTGAATAGACAGGAAGCCTTTTAAAAATTGAAAAGTATTAATCTTCCTCACAAGGTAAAACAAAGGGAAACCTGTTTTCAAGGACAGGACTCACATGGCCTGCAGCAGTGCCTTGGGAGCAGACCTGGCAGTGCTGGCTTGATGGTCAAGCTTGGAGACTTTAGAGAGCCTCCCCAACCTTAATGATTGGAATTATTAATTAGTTAATTAATTAAGCCCGTGATTTCTACCCACCCAGCAGCTCCATCACCCCTGCCACGGCCAGCAGTGGGTTTCTTTGAGCTTCCTTGGACATGAGCTTGGTGGGACCCTGACCATCTGCAGGATTAACACTGGAGGTGGTCCCAGATGTCCCAGTGACAGGTGGTGGCATCACCCTGCCCATCCCAGCATCACCCACCCCGTTTCTCCTTTTTCCTGCCACCAGACAGGTGTTTTTCTGACACCAGAATAGTTTGGAGCTGTGGAACTCCTGGGATTTCCCCCTGGGGAAAAAGGGGAATATCACTTTGCTCGAGTGGGGAGAAAATGGTTAGAGGGGCTCCAGGGTGGGAGGGAGATGGGAGCCTGAGGGGAATGTGTGCAGGAATAAGAGAAACCCTGGAGAGGGCAACCAGCAGAGAAGATACTGGTGGATTCATGCCTGGCCATGACTGCCTTAGGGCCATGAAGGTTTTAGGAATTTTTACCCCCTGCAGCTGCCTTTTGGAGCCCTTGGGATCTCATCCACTGCTTTTTTCTGTGCCAGTGGGGCTGCAAAAGCTTTCTGATTTTATTTTTTTGATGAAAGCAGCATTTCTCTCATAGTCACCAAGGCATTCCAAGAGCTGGAAAAGACAGAATATGATAAGAGATATAAAAACTTTCTAATATCATTGTACATCCTCTATAGGATGGGAGGGTTGAGCTCTGTAGAGTGACCCAGCCAAGGCAGGCAATCCCTGCTGGGGACCAGGGTGACCCCAGGGAGGGGGTTCAGCACAGTCTGTGCCTCTCAGGGATATCCTCTGGCATGTCCCAGGATGCTGGAGCTGCTGTCTGACCTCCAAACCTGCAGCCTGCAGTTCTCCCCTGCATCCACTGCACTGGCTTGGCTGTGCAAACCAAATCGCTGCAAGAAGGAAGAGTGGAGTCTTTAAAGTTTGGAAAGCTGCAGCTCCAGTGGCAATGAGTGCAGGGAAGCCTCCCCTTCCTCAGCCCACAGAAGGATGGGGGATTTGGGCAGCAGGAGGAGGGAGGCACAGGGCTCCCCAAAGCCTGGGGATGGGCTCTGTGACCCCTGGGCTGGGGCTCAGCTGGGTTTGTGCAGCCCCTTCCCTCCCCAGGCACCTCTGGACTCATGTTCACCCACCCATCTGACATCATTTTCTCCACCCCAGAGCCTGCCCAAGGGCCCAGGGATTTGGTGCAAGCTACAACTCAAACAAGGGTCAGCTCTGGGGTCACTCCAGGCTCTTTCCTGTCAGGTCCTGGAACCCCACAAAGTCCAGCATGGTGAGATTCCCGGGATTGTCCTGCAGGACTTGGACTCAATGATCCTTGTGGATCCCAGCTCAGGGCTTCTCTGGCTCTGTAAATGGTTTTGTATTCTGCCTGCCCACGCTGGGAGGGTGCTGTGGGTGCCCTGTGCCCCACAAGAGGTGACCCCAGGACGTGTCACCTGCAGGGTGACCCGGCTGCCCTGGGCTGAGGCGACATCGACCTGCTCTGCCCTGCTCGGGGGACTTTAAATAGGTCAGCAGCAGGTGACTGGATGAAATTACCCTTCATTTTATTGTAAGGGAGCTGCAGACGAGGCCCTTCCCCGTGGCTAACAGCAGGGATTGCCAGGGACAATGTAATGATTTTAATCCAGCAGTTTCCATTAACTCCTCGTGTGCCAGCCGGGTCAGGGGGATGATTTCTCTGCTCTAAACGTGCACAGGGACACGTCCCAGACACTGCTGTGGGACAAACACATCTCTGGGGACTTGGTGTAAAGCCCAAATTCTCTCTGTGCTCTGTGACAGCAAAGAGCCAGTTTAGCCCAGGGAACAGAATCTCTCCATTTCTGGAGGTGAACAGAGAATAATGCAGCTCTTCACGTGGCACTGGGTATAAACTGACTTTTATTTGTCAGAGGGTAAAGGACATGACTTGAGCATCAGGGTATGGACCTGGGACACAGCAGGGCAGCAGGGGAGGCAGGGTGGGGATGGAGTGGTGGAGAAAATGATGTCAGAAATGGGTGAACACGAGTCCAGGGCTGTCCCACCGGGGATAAAAAGCAGCTTGAGGGCTCAGAAGGAGCCCAGAGCTGGAGCTGGCTTGTGGTGTCAGGTGCTCAGGGAGTGAGCAGGACAGTGAATCATCACAGTGGGACTGAAAGAGGCCAAGTTGTCTTTCTGGCCTGAGTTCTGATGTTCAGAGTGACCTTCACTATTAATGAATATATATTATTTATATTATATTATATCATATTATATTATTTATATTATTTATGTTATTTTAAGTATTATATTACATTACATTATATTATGTTACATTATATATTCTATTCTATTCTATTCTATTCTATTCTATTCTATTCTATTCTATTATATTATATCTATTAAATTTATTATATTACATATATATTATATTTATTATATTATATTTTTATATGATAGTATTTATATTATTTATATTATATTATATCTATTATATTTATCATATTATATTTTTTATATTATAGTATTTATATTATATTATATTATATCATATTATATTATTTATATAATTTATAATTATTCTATTCTATTCTATTCTATTCTATTCTATTCTATTCTATTCCATTCATAATATTATTATATATATTATATATATTATATATATTATATATATTATATATATTATATATTATATATATTATATATTATATATTATATATATTATATATATTATATATATTATATATATATATATATTATATATATTATATATATTACATATATTATATGATTATAATTATATATTAGTAATGATTTTTACTATTGTGAGCACGTAACATTTGTTTTGGTGGTAATTTTGACATAGTTTGGAATCAGAGAAAAACGTGGAGAAAAAAGAGGATTGTGGCTCTTGACCTGGGAACTCGCAGGCATTTCCAAAGATGGGGAAAAGACTTAAAAATAATTTTAAAGACTTAAAAATAATTTGGTCCAATTTGGCCACCAGGAGAGCCTGGCTGACACCTTCCCTTGGCCTCCACGAGCAGGAAGGTATTTATTTAATATACATTCTTCTGATATTTAATTCTACACATAAACCCAGCTGCACATTATTCCTTTATTTGTGGAGCTCCTAAATGCGTGACAGCATATTTATTAAAAATACAGCCCTAAAAATATAAAATCCATATATAAAATATATGTGTATGAGGCTATATAATAAATAATAATAATAATAATAATAATAATAATAATAATAATAATAATAACAATAACAATAATAATATAGATATAGATATATAGATATAGATATATAGATATAGATATATAGATATAGATATATAGATATAGATATAGATATAGATAAATAAATATAAATATAAATATAAATATAAATATAAATATAAATATAAATATAAATATAAATATAAATATAAATATAAAATATAAATATTAAATATAAATATTAAATATATATATATATAATATAGCCCATAGAATGTACTTATTATTTTATAGAACCACAGAATTATTAAGGTTTGAAAAGACCTCCAAGGCTGTCAAGTCCAACATTTGACTGCAACTATAAATCCTGTTTTTTTCCCTGTGCTATTTCCAGTCCTAACAGACAAAGTTCTGCAGGTGAGGAGCACAACAGGTAAGGCTGGGATGGTGGAAAGAATTGGGAAGATTTTCTGGTGGCCTTCAAAGCTGGGTGTTGGTACTAACACTGCCCAAAAAATGTCTCTTGGTGGATTTGATTTAATGTTAAATGATGAGTAACTTAATACATTTTAATACTTTCACGGAACGATTCGTGTCCTGAACAATTCATACAAAGCTGTTTCAACAAAACAGGAGGAAAAAAAAAATAATCCCCTACAAAATACCCCAAAAACTCACACAATAAATTGCTATTTTCCTTTGGAAAAAAGAGAAATAATTTAGTCCAACTGTTTGGATGTCAGTAAGGACCACTGGTCTCAGGAGATAAGGATGAATCCCATAACGAAGAACACTCATAAATGTTTCATNAATCTGTTCACCTGAAAGGAATCTGCTCACCTGAAAGGAATCTGTGCTCACCTGAAAGGAATCTGTGCTCATCTGAGTGGAATCTGCTCACCTGAAAGGAATCTCTGCTCACCTGAAAGGAATCTGCTCACCTGAAAGGAATCTGTACTCACCTGAAAGGAATCTGTGCCCACCTTGCAGGGGAAGGAAAGCTCCTCACCTCAGCCCCTTTCCTGTCAGGTGTCCTGGACAAGGGTTCCCTTTGAGCACCCCTGAAGTTGCTGACTCCCTGTTTCCAAGAGCCCTGCCTGTTCCCTGGGAATTTCACAGGGTCCAGACTGGGAAAGAGCCTCCCAGCAGCATTTTTTTAACTCCTGCAATATGCTCTGCCCCCTCTTTGGTGTTTCCAGGGCAGAGAGGGACACTTAGGGAGCTCACCTGAGAGCTGGCTGGCCATTCTGCGCAGGGTGACCGGGGATGGCTTCAGTGGCATCGAGCCTTTTTCCAAAAACACCAGCCCGTCCGCTGTGTATCTCTGCTCTGAGTCCTTCAGCCTCCCCAGAGGGTTCTTGATAACAAAGTTCTGGGCATAACGCTCCAGTGGGTCATCCAGGGATGTCACTTTTCCTTCCTCCCACATCTTGTACAACATGATGGTGGGGAAGATCTTGGAGACGCTGGCAATTCTGTTAGGGGAAAAAACATTTGGAGAAATTTAGCATCAAGAAGCCCATGAATCAAGAGGAAAGAAAAGATCACCATGATTTTATTTTTATATTTAATTTGTATATTTAATATTTAATTTTATATTTTACTTTTATATTTTATATATTATATTTTATATATTATATTTTATATTTTATATTTTAAATTTTATATTTTATTTTTATATTTTATATTTTATTTTTATATTTTGATTTATTTATATTTATATTTTATAATTTGTTTTATATTTTATTTATATATTATATAGTATATATTTTATTTTTATATTTTATATTTAATTTTATATTTTATTTTTAATATTTATATTTGTATTTATATTTATTTATATTTATATTTAATTTATATATTTTATATTTCATTTTATATTTTATTTATATATTATATAGTATATATTTTATTTTTATAGTTTATATTTTATTTTATATTTTATATTTATATTTATATTTGTATTTATATTTATTTATATTTAATATATATATTTTATATTTTATTTTATATTTTATTTTTAATTTTTATTTTATATTTATATTTACATTTACATTTCTATTTACATTTATTTATATTTATTATTTAAAAGAATTTATATTTTATTTTTGCTCATTCCAGAGGGAATTGCTAAAATACAGGTAGGAAGTCTGAATTAATATCCTTAAATCTGAATCTTTATAAGCTGCAACATAACCTCTGTCTGTCCCCAGCAGTGCAGTGGGCTGCTGATCTCTTTCCATTCACTTGGCATTCATAAAACAACAAAACTGTAAATTACTGCTTAGCAAACACCATCAAACCCCTCCAGCAGTTTACTGGAATTTTAAGGCTAAAATCACAGAACCATTTAGGTCAGAAAAGACCTTTCAGATCATCAAGCTGGAGCATTCACCCAGCACTACCAAACTGCCCCAAAATTCCAGGTTTTCCCAGTTTTGTGGCCACCCAGGCCGTCCCCGTGGCGCAATCGGTCAGCGCGTTCGGCTGTTAACCGAAAGGTTGGTGGTTCGAGCCCACCCAGGGACGTGGCCCTGACTCCTGGACCCTGGTGGGGGGTTGGAACCCCCTTGGGTTGTCCCTTACAATCCAAATAATTTGGTGGTTCTGGAGGAAAAACAGCAGGAGGTTGTTTTACCGTTATACAGATTGGGAAGGAACCCGTTTTGGAAAAAATCACAGCTGCTGAAACTGTCCAAAATCGTTCACTCTGAGAAAATTTCACAGTCAGAATGCAGCCCATGTTTCTTAGCACAGTTACAATTCACTGAAAACTGATCTTTAGAGGGAGGAAGCATTTCCTTCCTCTTTCTTTTTGGTTTTTAGCACAACAATTAACAGCTTGGTTCTGTCTTAACCTAAAAAAATGACAGCCAATATGAATTTGACTTCACTGGAACGATGAATAAGCTTATGGGTCTACTTGACATGTTCAGTAGATATTAATCCCAAAAATCAGTTTTTTTCTAAACTGACATTTACTATTATTTTTTGAACCCTGTGACATTGTTTCCTCCCTGATCTCCAAATCTGTGCCAGCTCTTGGTCTTCAGGTTTGTGCCCTGGACATGCAGCCATTCCCACGTAAGGAATGTATGTTTTCAGGTTCTTTAGGATCACTGCTATTCCAGTTTAAAATATTCTCAGGATCAAATGAAAAAAATACATAAATAAACCCAAAGTAACTCATTAAACCCCCAGCATGCAATCTGGGAATTCTCTTTTTCCTCACAAAGCACGATCCAGCAGAGCTCCCTGCATGGGCCTGCGGGTTGTGACGGTGTCTCTGTTCCGGGTATCAGCTCTCTGTTGGTGTGTTTTTCCTTTCCTGGCTCTCCCACCTGCGCCAGGTGTCTCACCTGTAGATGGTGTATTCATTGGGCAGCCCTGAGGTGGGGTCAGAGCCGTTCTTCTTCCCGAAATTGCCCGTCCAGAGCACGGTGTCGTTGTAGATGACGATGGCTGACATGGCCGGGAGGCCGGAGCTGTGCATCTTCTGCCGCAGCATCTGATCCACCTGGGGAGGGAAGGGAAACCATGGACTTCCAAAAGAAGGGTTTTACAACGCATCCAGTCTGTACCAAGCAATGGAAACATCCACCCTCATCATCCCAAATCACTCGAGAGTGATCCTATGAACGGTGTTCTGGCAAAAAAAAAAAAAAAAAGGTATTTTTTTTATATTTGTTTATCTGTTTCTTCTAGAATTGCTTCTGTTGAATTATCCCGTGTCCTTTTTCAGTCTACATGACCACTGTGTAGAAGAATGACGTGCTCTTCACTCATTGTGAAGAAGAATGAACCAGCTCACCCTCTGGGCAAGAGAACTGCTCACTGGAGGAGTTTTACACATCCATTTCTAGGTTCACGTGTTCTCCTCAATTCCCCACCTCCTTCCCCAGGGATGCTCAGTGGTAATGATAGTAAAAGGTCTTAAAATCTTAGAAAATTCGGGGATTTAGGAAGAAAGTTAGGTTTGGAAAAGAAGGCCCTGGGAAATGTTAGGCCTTGTGCTTGCTAAAGACCAGGTCAAGCTACATCTGTGTAATCAATATATGATAAATGATAGAATTGTTAGATTTGATTAGATATAATTATTGTTTAGAGAACATGGGGAACAATGTTAGGGGGCTGAGGGGGAATCACGACAAATTCACGCTTGGGTGAAAACAATGCATACAATAGAACAATGTAAGTTTAATAATTAATATGTAAGTTGCATAATGATAAAATATGTTCAACTTGAAAACCCAAATCGGGTCAGATTTGGGTCTGTGTACCCCTGACACCCAGAGCTCTTTAAATAAAGCACCTTCATATAAACATTCGTGGTTATGTGTGTTCCTGAGCGCTAACAGTGAAATCCTCCATCTCCCCTGCACCCCTGGAGAAAAGCAGCCAAGAGCTGTGTGTCCCTCTGGTCCCTCCAGCCCCACAGACCTTCTCCAGTGCTTCCTTCAGGATGGGGAGGGGATGGTCCAGCGGGACCGGCTCAGGATAGCGGGGACACATCTGCACGGCTTCTGACCTCACCTCCATCACGGATGGACCTGGAAAACAGTTCAGGGTGACACAGGTGTACTCCAACAGACACATGGAGAAGCCTGAACCTCACCCAGCAGCCACCACAAGCTTTCTTGGCCTAAGGGACGCTTTGCACGGGGAAGGGACAGCGCTGAATTATTTCTGGTGCCCTGTTATTGCTCATTCCCACATGGGATGGACACGGGATGGGCTTCAACCGACTCTGCAGCCTGGGAGAGTGAAGAACTGGGGCTGCACAAGGCTCTGGCAGTGGGTTTAGCCCCCCTGGAAAGATGTCTGGGGAAGCGCTCCTCAGGGGAGGAAGGGGAAGAAAGCTTTTACTGGTCTTCCAAATCTCTGTGCCACACCCTGGGCAAGGTTAAAACCCCTCTACTCACCGGGCTCCACCTTGGGGAGGCTGTACTGCCACAGGAAGCAGCCGGTCATGGCCACGGAGAGGAGGAAGAGGAGGATGACCAGGACGTGGATCCACTTCACCTCCATGGCAGTGAGTTTGAGGAAGCTCCGGCTGCAGGGCGCCTGCTGGGAATGGAAAAGGAATGGGTTATGGGGGAGAGAAAACACCTGTGTGTGTGTCACAGGGAGAGAGGCCCCTGTGCTGGGGAATAAAGCAGAGACAGGACTGGTGGAAGTGTCCCTGCCCATGGCAAGGGGTGGAGTGGGATGAATTTTAAGGTGTCTTCAAACTGTTCTGGGATTCTGGGGTGATTTCAGTACCATTGCTGCAGCAGGGGAGGGCAAACCAGCCCATGGAACCAGAAATGACTTGATGGCTTTCAGTGAGCTCTCTGAGCCGCTCACTCACCTCTCCTTGTTGGTTCTTGTGGAACCCTGCTCGCTCCTTTTGCTTTCTCCCCTCCCTGCAGGTGAAGCTCATCATCCCAGCCTGGCAGGAGTCTCAGTTACAGCTCTCACTTCCTCCCTTCTCACCACCACTTATCCCTGGATATCTTTCCATCCCCCTTTTCCAGAGCCCAGCATCTGTTCATGACAGCCACCAGCCAGACCATCTGAGCAGATCCAGCTTTTCTAGATGAATGATGGAATTTTTCACTCCGTGCTGCCCTTACCCTTCTCTGTTGTGCCTGTAAATCCCATTCTATCACGTACCATCTGTAAGCTTGGCATTTACAGATGCCATGTTTTAGGAAACTGGCTGATATTTGAGTGTGTGCAGCTCTCAAAACACTGGAGACCATCCAGGTTGGTGAGAGAACCAGATCAATGTTGAAGAAAAACAAGGAACAGATGACAAATGAGGAGGTGCCTGAGCCTGAGCTGTGCTCCTTCACTGCCTGCAGGAGGTCAGGAGGGTGCTTTTGAAAGTTTGGCAATTAATGTTATAAAACATATGGCCTGCCATTTGCATCCAATATGCTCCACATTCCTAAGCTGTTTCAGGTTGTCTGGACTCACTTGTAGGACAGACAGATTGAAATATTCCCTTTAGATTTCCACACAGCTTTTTTTTTTTTCCCTCCCCCCCACCCCTGTTTTTGAGATACAGGATAGTTCACGCAAAAGCTTCTGCAAATCAACTGAGCCTTGTCACTCACAGCCAGGGAATCTGCAGAGCCTCTCCCAGACTTGTGGATCCAGCTGGGTTTTCCAGCCTTCACTGGAACTCTGGGTTGCAGCTCCACTTTCTGCATAATAACAGAAATATATCATAATTTTTCCTGAAGGCCCTCTGCCTGGCCAGGCATTTCTGAAAGCAGCTTATGTCAGGTTCTTCCATAAGATAATTAAAATTCAGGGATGGCTGAAGACTGTGCAGGTGCCTGCAGACCCCACTCACACCTGAGCCTGCCTGGGTGCTCCAGGTCCATATTCCTGACGTGTTTCTAAATAGGGGAATGCCATCCTGACAGCAATCCCACTTTTGTTTGGATATACCAACCTCTTTCAGGGCATTAGCTTGGCAGGAGATTCCATCACTCAAGGAAAAGCCTGTGCTGAGATCTCTTTAATCCCCTCACACTGGCAGGGCTCAGTGTTCAAGGATGTTTTCCTGCAGTGAGGGGTGGGATGGGGCCCTCTGCCCTGGAGTGCTCATGGGATTTCTTGGATTTAGTCACATCTTAATAACATTTACTTCTCCACCAATTTTCAGTTCCTCTGGCCATTTTTCTGCCTCACTGAGAAGCCCTGGTTCCTGAGTCCCAAAGAACAAGGTGAGAAGATTATTTTCTGGTGTGTTCCTCACCTCACGGACTCCAGACTCACTGGGCCACTAACAGAGGACACAAATACCGACTCTGAGCTCATCTTTTAGCCCAAACTCATCCTTCACTCATTTACTTCATGTGGATCCTGAGTGCTCTGAATGGCTCTTTTTCCTTCCCTGTGATCCAGTGGGAATGCAAAAAAACCCCTGGCAGTACCACGGACTAGAGATATGGATCTCTCCTTCACTGATGGGACACCAGATACCCAAAGGTGTGAGAAATATTCATCCAAACCACCTTTCAGGGAAAACACCACTTCTCCCCTGCAGCTGGGAGGCCGTCAGGCGAAGCAGATGGATAGATCCCTACAAACACACATCACAATTCCCACTCCAGGACCTGTCTGCTCTCACCTTCCCATGGCTTCCCCCTCACTCCGTGCCTCTGTGACTGTCGCTGCTCACAGCACAGACACAGCAAGGCAGGGGGAGGGGGACACTGAGCACTTAATCACATGCAAATGAATGCAAACGCATGCAGGAATGAGCGCACGCGGCTTCCCGTGGGGACAGCTTAGCAGTAGGATACCTTTCTTTTTCCCCCCGCTGAGATTTACAAAATTGGGATGGGGAGAAAACTCAGGAATTCCCCATGGACCACCCAGGCCACTGCCCTGCCCCACAAGGCACAGCTCAGCAGGGATTGGGGGCAGCCAGGAAGACCCCCCAGCCCCTCACCTACCACATCCAGGAGCTGCCTCAGTCCCAAAGGCTGTTGTCTCTCATCCAGGCATGTGGGCACCTCAACAACCTCATCCTGGCCAGCCTGAGCCTCGGGCAGGGGCGAGCAGGAGCTCTCAGCATCTCCCCAAGGCAGCTCCGTGTCACGGGCAGGAGCTGCTCCCTCACTGGACTTGGGGTTTGTCTCCCCAAGGATCCTGCTCCAGGTTTATCTCCACAAGGATCCTGCTCCAGGTTTATCTCCACAAGGATCCTGCTCCAGGTTTATCTCCCCAAGGATCCTGCTCCAGGTTTATCTCCCTGAGGGTCCTGCTCCAGGTTTATCTCCCTGAGGGTCCTGCTCCAGGTTTATCTCCTCAAGGGTTCTGCTCCAGGTTTATCTCCACAAGGATCCTGCTCCAGGTTTATCTCCCTGAGGGTCCTGCTCCAGGTTTATCTCCCCAGGAGTCCTGCTCTGGGTTTCCCCATCCATTTGGCCCATCCAGAGAGTGCTGCTGATCTCCCCTGGGAAAGGAGCTTAAGTGACAGGGACAGGATGGCGTTTGCACAGGAAAGTGCCTGAGAGATTGGATGTTAATTCTTCCTAATGCTTCTGTGCCATGTGTGTGAATCACAGCTGAAACCAGGAGGGCTTCACCATCTATTTATAGCAGCTTCATCTCCTCCTGACATCTGAACAGGAGGCGATTAAGCAGGACAGGGACAGTCCCTGAGTGCCTCCAGCCAGCCCCGGGAGCTGCTCAAGGGGAGGGGATGTGGGGAGCTAAGCTGGGAGCTCAGGCACTCTCTGGGCTTAATCCTGCAAGCCTCCTGGAGTTCCCCCTCAGTGACAGACAAGGCAGTCATTCCCAGCTCCCAGGATGAGGATGGAGCTGGGATTTCTTCCCCCTGATCTGCCAGGTACCCTGGAGGATGGCGGGAGGTGCATGAGGGGATCCTTACCCGCAGCTGTAACCCCTCCATGGCTGCTCAGGAGGCTCTTCTCATCCCCTGAGCTTCTGCTCCCCACAAATCGAGGGTTTGCAAACCCCTGTGATGGAGAGAACAGAGTTGGTGCAGGAAAAAAGCAAAGCAAAGAGGTAATGGAGGCCCAAGAAACAAAGCCCAGCTCAGGTAAGCAGGGCTGCAGGGACAGACATGGGGACAGAAATGACACAGGGACATGGGGGCTGGAATGAGGTGGTCTTTAAGATCCCTTCCAACCCAAACCATTCCATGAGATAAACCACAGTAACCACAAAAGTCCTCAGCAACACCTTGGCTCTCTCTGCCTCTGCTCTGGCAGCATCCCAAGCTTCCCATTTCCCTTTCACCTCCAAACACAAGAAACTGAAGCTTTGAGCCCTTCAGAGCTGACACATTTTCACTGTGGCTTCTCCACAGGCTCCTTTGCCTTGTTCCCTCTCCACAGCCAACAACACCCCCTTACCCCTGGGAATCACCCCCACAGCCAAGGGACTGCGTGACAGGACTGGAAGTGCCAGGATAATAACACCACCACCACCTTCCCCACAAAATCTCCCATAAAATCTCCCTCATCCATCTACCTGGCAGCAGCAATTCAATCCCCAACCCGCCAAGAAGAGCTCTTACCGTCCTTGCTGCTACCTCTGGCTTCCAGCTGAGGAATTTGGGGCTGTCCTGCAGCTGCAGATGTTGAGAGCAGCTGAAGCACTAATCCAGCTGCCAGCCTCTCTGAGCACAGATTAACGGGCCAGGCCTCACCCCTCCACAAACAGCTCAGCATCTGTCCAGGGATGCAGCCAGAGGGAGGATTGGAGGTGATCTCCTGGCTCCAGGAGAGCTGCAGAGTGGGAGATGGGGAGTATATTATATTATATTATATTATATTATATTATATTATATTATATTACATTACATTACATTACATTACATTACATTACATTACATTACATTACATTATATTACATTACATTACAGTACATTGCATTGCATTACATTATATCATATCATAACATATCATATCATATCATATCAATTATATGATATTATATAATACAATATCATTATATATAATCTATTTAATGTTAATTACATAATACATTACATAATAGAATGTATTAATTACATTATATTTACTACATAATATGTACTATATTATTACTATATTATTTTAAATCTATTGTATATATTATATAATATTATATTCTATTAATTCTATTCTATTCTATTATTCTATTCTATTCTATTCTATTCTATTCTATTCTATTCTATTCTATTCTATTCTATTCTATTCTATTCTACTCTATTCTATTCTATTCTATTCTGTTCTGTTCTGTTCTGTTCTGTTCTGTTCTGTTCTTTATAAAGTACATCCTAAATGCTCTCCAAAGAGGAAGGTGTGGTTGTGCACCCACTCACATTCCAGATCCAGGGGGATTATGCACCTCAGGGGACCTGCCATCCTATTCCTTCACATCTTCATAGGCAGGGACATTCCAGTTCCATCCCTTCATTCCAGTATCTCCAACAGCATCCCAGAACCTGACAGTGCCCAAAATACCCAGTGGAGCCCGTGCCCCCAGAGCTGTTCCCAAATTTTGGTGAATGGGGCTGCTGATGACCTTCTCTCTAATTAGATCAGCTCAGGCTTCTCACGGTTTTGTCACTCCCCATTTCTGGGAGCTCTGATTTCCTTCTGTCCCTGCTGGTGCTCTTTGTGCCTCCAGTGGTGATTTTTGGTCTGGGCTCCTCTAACACCTTTCTGGACTCTTTCTGTCTCCATGCACACAGGACATTGACTCATCTTGTGGTGCCACCGATGGCTGGAGGTTCCTTATCTCCTGCTCTGTGCTTCCTGAGCCCTCTCTGAGCCAGCAGAGCTCGGGAGCACAAAGCCTTCCTCATTTAGGGAAAGCACTGGGCAGCAGCTCAAACATCAGTGTGTTATCAGTGTTATTCTCCTCCTGCATTCAAAACACTGCTCTGTACCAGCTACCAGGGAAATG